AGGAAGAAGAGTCCACTTTTTGAGAGCGCTCGAGTTTTGGGGTCGATTTCCGTTCTTTAATTTCGTCTTTTTTTGGGGGATCCTTTGTGTGCTTACTTTTCTTTCATTAAGATGTTTTATGTTCTGATAGTTTTTGAACGATATTCTCGTTATTATCATCTATTTTATCTCGCTAAAAGTAATGGCTAAAAAAATAGGAGTCTCAGATTTTAGGAAATGATATATAATTTAGACTTTGCAAATCGCCTGAAAGCCAATTTTACTTGAAGATAATTTTCTTCATCTACTAAAAAAACAAAATAAAAAAACAATTGTTGTCCTTGTGAGTAACTTATATGATAATATGTCTAATTATTAATTAATAATTGTATTTTTAAAACTAGATAATAATTACTAATTAGTTTTTTTATTCTACATTTCGGCTAGTAATCTGCTGCAATATCCTGAAAAGGACAATTTCTATGTTGGCAATAGCCAGAGTTCTTGGGTCTTCTGGATGGAAGTCCTCTCGACTCTCCCATGGAATTTGAATCAACTAAATCGAGGCGTTACTGACTTCTGTGATAGATGAATGTATTATCAGTTAGGTAGATGTAGATGGCTTCAAGTGTGGCTGATTATTTTAATATTATTCCAATTTACTGTTTCGTCTTCTTCTCTGCCATAATGAACTATTGGAGATAGATTGGTATTACAGGTTCTACATTTTACTGCCGATATATGACCGCCGGTGCATTTTACTGCCGGCAAGGGGACGCAGCAATTAATTCTTTATTTTAAGATTTTCTGCATGTATAGAAATTATATTATCGCAATATTATAAAAGCAACCATTATTATATTAAAAAAACATTGAACACAAAAATTACCTCATAAAATTTGTATCCGTGTAAACGTAAACAATAATGTACGTATTTGGTATATAATGGTAGCATTTTTTCCCCAGCAAACTATTTGGTATATAATGGTAGCATTTTTTCCCCAGCAAACTATTTGGTATATAATGGTAGCATTTTTTCCCCAGCAAACTATTCAGTTACTTTATTATTCAATTCTATTATCAATCAAGTTTAGTGCGATAGTTTATTAGCTCACTGTACTTTTTGATAATGATGTCGTTTATTGTGTTAGGAACTGCTTTGTTTTCTGAGTATAATTATTTGCCGGCAGTCATTTACTGCGGTAGTCATACGTCGGCAGTCAAATGTCGTGATAATTACTAGCTTATGATCAACGACAGACATGTTGGGGCAGCTGGTGCTTTTCGGATTAAGTTCTTTCAGTCGCACAGTATGTTTAAGCTAGAGCTGTTGCCATTGAAGGAAACAGGTAAAAATCTGTTGCTCTACAGTGAAAATGTGTCTACTAATCAGTGACATATCTTCAAATTAAGAAAACATAAATTCCAGGTAAGTTATACTTTACAAACTGAAATTTTACTGACTGAGTACCGGGGTCATATAGCTTACAGTAAAGGCAAATATTACATAAAATAATAGCTATAAAAGAAGCTTAAAACTAGCTGTTTTGTTTAATCAGCACAAATATTTTTAGAGGCAAGACAGTAATTTTAAGAGGGTAGGCAATAATGTGCATGTGTTTATATTCTTATAGCAAAGCCACATCAGGCTATCTGCTGTGTCCACCGAGGGGAATCGAACTCCTGATTTTAGCGTTGTAAATCCGTAGACTTAACGCTATTCCACCGGGGGAAGTGAACTAATTTAAATGTATTGAACAGTAAATTCCGTTTGTGATCATATTTTAATCATATCAAAAAGTTTCATAAAATGCTATTAAGTTTTTCAAATTTCCCCTTATTGAGAGTTTCGATAATTTTACGTTTTTCTAAAAAAAAAAAAATCATATATGAGTTTCTTCATTTCGTTTCCTTGCAAAATAGGGATTGATTGTACTTTAGATTTGTGCGGTTGAGGCATTTTAAAAACTGTTTGCTGGATTTTGCTTTTGAAAAGAATGGCCCCCTGAAGTACAATTTATTTGAGTTCATATGAAGTTAAAGTGCCAACAGAGTGCTTTTAACTGTATTTATATGCCAACAAACTATTACTATCAGTACCATCTGTTTCAGTATATTAGTAATATTTCAAATTGGGCACCAGTTGAGCTACAAAAACAAAAGTGCCAAAATATGATCAGTTCATAGAATCTTTGGAAACGGAAAGAAAATTTTAATTATTAGAGCGTATTGTCTAAACATTTTACTTTTTATTTAGATATCAAATCTTTATTTTTTTCCCACGGTAAGATACCTGAAATAAAATTTCGTAGGTTATAAAACCTTCTTATATTCCGATTGGTTTATAGAGATTACAAAGGTCTTCGCAAAAACATAGATCTAATTGCCAGAAATAAAATTTCGTAGGTTATAAAACCTTATTATAT